CAAGCTGAGAAGACGGCTTTTATGTTTAACTCGAGAGAAAATATATTTGTAAGTTATCGATAGTACACAGACAGAAGTTGTTTGAGGTGTTTTTTCTTTCTCGTTCACTTCTTCGATGTTCAAAAACACCTGTAACTGGATCTACCCAGGATAATGAAACACAGCTTGGTCTCTAGGAAGTTCGATTGATCGCAAAGAAACGCATTTCAAAGAAAATTGCTGTAAGTTCGAAGGAGTGAGAAGCAGCTCCAACTTCTTCATACGGACTCACCTCATGTCTTGGTTTTTAATCATAACAAAACAAACCAGAGTGTTCCCCACGATATCTGTGATTATTAGCACAGAAAACACCACAGCGATCACGGTCTGGGCTGAATCGGTCAACATGATGGATTTTCCTTCTCTTTTCGACTGCAATTTTCACCAAAACGTCAATTTTCTAAGGGAATAGAAATCATGCCTCTAAAAATCATGAAAGAATGTCCCTGAGAAAAAATTGTAATTGCAGTTTGCAATTTCGGTACTTTAATTTGTTGGAACAAACCGTTAGTTGTGGTTTAAAGACTTGATTGTAAACAGACGTCGAAAATATACTACAAACATAAAATGTAATTTGAATTGCACTCTACCTTAACGTCCAAGTAGGTCCTTACTCAGGATTTACGAACTCAATACGTATATGACAACATCGCGTATCTCGGAAGATCGAAAATGATTGATTTACTGGCCACACAATTCAACAAGCTGGAAATTTAGCGATTTTCAGAGTAAAACCCTACTTATTATGAACGCCATGGAAAATTATAATCTCAATACACATAATGGACTGGCGTCATATCCCTTACGAAATCTTCAGACCAATGAGAGTTGCTTTGATATATCTCTACTCTTTTATGCAGACCTGACAGTATTTAATATAATTTTTAATGGAAAACTCTTTGTTTTCAAGGAAATGAAGTGCTATGGGTGCCACTGACTTTAATTATAGAATTTAATTATACAGAATTTCAAATACTTGAACGACATCTCTGGATTTTTATATTGCAAAATTAGCGTGTGGTTGGAATTTCAAATCTTAAATGAACGGTCTAACAATGTTTTCGAACTAATGTTACGAAACAGAGGCAAAGATACGGGACGAAGTCAGCTGTTGTTGTGTCTCATAGACAAGAGCTCACAAAGGCAGGAGATATATCCAAAGAAAAAAATTAAAGAAAGAATTTAAATTTCAGACTCGACTGATAATAATGTATTTGCTCCACACATTTTTTATAGCCCTTAAAACCTAATCCAAGCCAAATTTCATCAATATAGGAGCGATAACTAATTGTATTTTTCCATATATAAACTCGGGGTATAGCTTTATCACTCTGAGAAATGAGATCTATCAAAATTTGTAGTTATCCCTGAGGATCAATCTCGGAAACAAATTGCATGAACAGATCACGTTACCTTTAGAATTATCCAGCAGCATTCATTTCGCCCTTGGGTGAATCAATTATATCTCAAGAAAATGTTTTTCGGCCACAATCTGAACGAAGTGGTAAATGATGTCAACATTATAATTTCATTTCCTTGTTTCCATCGTTCTTCACTTCAAATAAAAGAAACACTGCGTATGGCCCTTATATAACATTTTAATGCCTGAAGTAACAACTGATTGAATAACGGTGAAGATTTTAAAGTCAACGTCTTTGTTCAAAAGAGGGTTAGGCAGGCTTTTAAATGTTCAACAATTGCAAGGTGCCAGTTAGGGCCAGTTCTATTCGAAAAATTGGACGATATCTTATATACTAGCTAACTTTTCACCTAGGTGTCGAAAGCAATCCAGTTTCGTTTTGGTTTTGCTGTTACTACACTACATAATTAGTATTGGAAACTTGCACGCTTTACTCGGCCGATCACTCGTGATGTAGCCACGAGCGTTTTTTCCGTTTATAGTTTTGTCGTTTGTAGTTCTAATAACATCTTCCCTAATAGATAAGTTGTGTTCAAACATCCAACTTGAATGACAAAAGTAAGATGGATAAATTTTCTTGCGAACGAACCGTTAAAAATACAAGATAATTTTGTTTTAACAGCTGAGTTGATAATGTAAATTGGCCACCGTAAAGAGTTTCAAGGCTGAAATTTCGAGCGTTAGCCCTTCGTCAGAGCGAATGGAGGAATTGTGAGTTGTGCATGTGTTTATTTGTAGAAAATGGAGCTACGCTAGGTGTACATAGTAACGAGAAAAACAAGAATAAGTTGGTTGAATTAAAGGCATATGTTGATAACGTGGGGATTAAGAGTGCCGATTTGAAAGATAAATTTTTGTTCTAGAGCTTTGCAGCTTTCTAAAATTCCTAAATGTAGGGGAAGGCCACAGACTATCATGTGCTCAGAAAGATTAGGGATGTTAAAGAGTATAGCGACTGGTTTGGATGCGTCCTTGTAGCTATCGTGTTTAACGTTTTTACGTGTCTTTTATTTTCCTCTATTTTGTTTCTCGTTTGTCAATTTCCCTTCGTATAATTGTAGTAACTTATCATTTATAATTTCATTTTGGCAACCGCTTCGATTGTTCAGTTCGCATCAATAATTTGATTTGTTTCGTTTGTTGGAATATGTTGTTGAAGAATATTAGAAAGCGTGTTTTGGATTTGTAAGAGTAATTTTGGCCCTAAAAAAACGCTATTAACGATCTTAAAGTGCACTTAAACATTTTCAAAAACACTATTAACAATCTTATGACCACCAAAATATTGATCGTTAGAAACTTTTTATGGTGGGCCATTTACATTATCAACTCAGTTGATGAAAGCAAATTATCTTGTTATACTCCTCCACCGGAGTAGCACCTCAGTTTCTTAAGCAAGTTATCACTTTTATTGAAATAAACTAATTTGGCTTGCAGTCATTTTAGGGACATATTACTATGTTTCACAACCAGCAGGGAATTAAACTATTTTAACTTGACAGCTGTTTGAGTGTAAACCCTACACAAAACCTTGAAATTTTTAGCAATTTTATGGGTATCACTTTGTTTTCCTTTTTTTTTTTTTTTTTTGAACCGACGTTTCAGAGTCTTCATGACGCCATTGTCCTAGTATGTGTTAGGATTATGAATTCTGCAAGTATTGTTTAAAACCACTTTCAGGGTTGGTTTTAGTTCTCTGATGAATAGCATCTCGTGCACTAAGCAATGGAATTTATTTTTGCACTTCTTAAGAACATTGAAGCACCTCAGTGGGTCTTATCCTAGTTTTTCATGCAAAGTTATTGCAGTTGTTGATACTCCCAGAATTCATTATCCTCACATTTACCTTGACAATGGCGTCATGAAGACTCCAAAATGTCGGTTCATATCGCTAGTTTTTACATGTTTATGTATAATTTAGCTTCTAAGAGGAGTAGCCATGTTTATAATGTTTCAAACGTTTGCACCAGAACAAAACTTCCTCAGAAAAGACTATTTCGGTATGCAAATTCTATGTCATACCCTGTTTAGTGCGCTGGCAATAGATTTCTATTATCTCTAGCCTTAACTCGTTCTCTGACTGATCCTTCGGAATACCAACCGTTTTCTTGTCGAAAAATATCCATGCAAAATATACCTAACACCATATATACCGACTTGAGAATAGGATTGTACACATTATTATGCTCCATGTTTCACACTATTACATGTCGTTTAAATCACAAGCGGCCCAAGCTCCAGCTGTGAGATGATCTTCTTGCGAAATAAGAGTCATGGCGAAATTATGGGAGTTTTATCAATTTTTGTACGTAGTAAACTTCGAAATGGATAACTCGCTAAAATTAGTTCTTTTTAGCATAGAAAGCGGTCAAATAGCAAGCGATGCACCGTGGAAATAAGGTGAGGTATTTCCATTGAGAATTTGATCGTGTTTTTTTTCGAAGTGTACCATGAAACTCGCAGATTAAAATTATCAAGCTTTCTCCGGTTCTTAAAATATAAAACGAGTGATACAACAAATGGATAATTACTCAAGGGGCTGGGACTCCTTGTTTCTTTTAATTAAGTCCAAAATTATTCCTCCATTTCTAACAAGTTCTTTGATGTAACGACCGTATTCTTTGATGTAACGACAGGCTTCTTGCATCCTTCACAAATAACATCGTCTACATCGATCGCCCAAACAATCACAAGACTCGAAGTCATTTGTACAGTCTTTGCTTTTTGAAAATAACTTCCTTCCACACATTACACAACAATTTTAAGACTTTGCCGCTTCCATCTAAGTTCCAGAGGGAAAAATGACAAGAAAGGTTGTCTCAAATACTCGACCCATTGCTGTTTTTCGACGTATTTTCCTCCTTCTTTTCTTTCGCGATTCTCGAGCGGGAAACCGTTGCAAACGTACACCAGCGGTTTCTCGCATCAAACTCAAATTTACAGAACATGTGCAACAAAATGCCCCTCTGCTGGTTTGCGTATATTTTTTATAAAACACAATTGAAAAGTCAAAGAATGTTTATTTTATCTCATTGTTTCTTATTTTTTGTTTATCTATGTATTTTATTTATTTTTCTGCATTTATTCCAGCATAATGCTTAATTCTCAAAATTATGCCGGCATAATGTGGACAACGATACAGAAGGGTCTGGCATGTTAAATGTCAATACACACTACGGTTCAAATTGATTCGCAACCACATACCGAAGTTACTGTGCTCGAAAAACAATTGCATATACTCTAATTGAGCGAATACAACCATTTCTTCTAATCACGATAACCTTGCAAGTCCGCCCACATTATCCCTGCGACACGAGCTGCAGATCCTGCGAGATTCAAGACGGCGAACAAGTCGGGCGTGTGAGAGGTTTCCAAGGAGTCCAGCACTCTTATTTTGGAGGCAGATCCCTGACGGACCTCTCGCGCCTTCTCATCTCGCGCGCTCACACCTTATCAAAGCGAGCGTCTCGCCGCTCGTGACGCAGGGGCCAAGTTGAACCTAATCGCGGGATGAGTTCAATCCAAATTCGAATTGCTTAGTTCTGCTTGTTCATTGGCATAATACAACTCATTGCTTTAAGTTTTTTCTGTCCTCTTGCATGCCATCTGCGGTGGACACTAAACTTCCCGTTCGCGGTTTGACTCGTATGTTGGATACCACGGTAGGTTGTGTGACAGCGTCAGTGGGATCGTAGGTGTTATTGGTTGACTCAATGAAGACCCCAATTCGGTTTCCGCAGGTCTTTTCACAACATAACAAACTTCTGACTTTTCTTTGAAATTTCTGGTTTACAAAGACGTAAATAAAAGGATTGACAGTAGAATTGCACGTAACTAGAACGATACTGGTGATGTAGGTAACATCTCCATAGTTCTGCGAAGGACTGAAGTAGTTGAGCGCGTAAGTAGTCAGGTTTGGCAACCAGCATACGCCATAAATTACACTCACTACAAGTACCATTCTGGTGACACGCTTTCGCACCCTTAACACACCCTGAAATAACAAAAAAAAATAAAGTTTAACATTCTCATCTACATCATATGTAAAGAGCATCGATATCAAATAACTTGTGCCCTGTAAACTTCGCAGGTGTTAAAATTTCGAACAGGCATTACTTTATGTTTTGCATGCTAAAACGTCAGTTGTTTAAAATGACTAGGGCTAATAATTTCAGAGTGTAATGATCTGTTCAAGGAATCAGCAAGAAGCCTAATAATTTCAAATGCTCTGACTTTCCGAGTCGTTCAGAGCTGGAGGGGCACCACAAGGTTGGATCATTCGAATGAGTCCTTAGCAAACTGATATTTGTTCGCCTTGAGTAGGAACCTATCTTAAAAATCCACAAGAGTTAATGAACCAAGAAAATATGAATTCTACACGGTATAACCACTTGAGACTCTGTGTCATTATTTGCCTTTGGTTTCAGTATCAAACCCGTGATGAAAACAAATCCTGAATCACTTTTGGGTTACAATTGGCTGAGACACACAACAATAACTGACAAATGCAGAAAGAGATATACGTTTAAAGTGCAATGTCATATGCTGGAAATTCACACTTAAAGGATTAGATCATTATATAGTCGATAGTGTGTGGGATACCTGCCGGGTATTTTGCGTGATGTTTTCAACAGTGCCATCCTCTTTTTCGAACCAGAGCACATATACTACCCTGGAATACAACATGATCATCAACAGTATCGGAATGAGTCCAGCAACAAAGAACCATGTGGAGCTATATGCCTTCGGAAGCCAGTCAGGTGGGGGCCAGTATTCCATGCAAAAGTTTTTCTTCTTGTCAAAATATATTGTCAGGAATAGGGGAATGTTGAGGATACCTGCACCAATCCAAGATGCAGGAATGATGATCTGTTAAAAATGTATGATTAATGAAATAACTGTGTACACTTTATTAAAAAACCGTAAAACGTCGGAAGCAAAAAAGGCGCGAGAGATGAACGTCAATCAATAAAACCATAAATACTTTTTAATACTGAATGATAAAAATTAAAAATTGAAGGATTTATCTTGGCTTTAATTTTTGTTTCTTAGATAAATTAATCGCACCTGTCCTGATGTTTCTGGGAGAAGTAACCTTAATTTTTCCTTTATTACGGTATAGGTCAGTAATAAACTTTTCCGCACCATCTACGCCTCTCTTTCGTTTTAAAGTAGCTACAGAACGTTCGCAGATCAATTCAGAGAAGTAGCTCAATTGAGGTCGTAGCTTTATTTTCTCGTCATTTAACGCAGGCTTGAAACGCGCCTCGTAGAATTATAGGCTTCGTAAACCGCTGGCAAAAAAGAGCGTTTCATAATTGTTAGTTTGTTACTTGTCTTGCTGTTACCGTGGTCGTTTTTAAAACAGCGCCTACTTATGTATATACTTCTACCTTCAGCTTGTCGTATGTAAGTTTCCCTTTGTTGCCGTAAGGATACATCACGGCATAATATCGCTCAAATGCAATTGCCACAAGGGTAAAGACTGATGCAGCACCGCCAGTCCAAGTAAGGTTTCCCCCAGTCAGAAGCTTGCAGACCCATGTCCCTGCCTGTCCATCTGGATGTTCGAAGGTGTGGATCAAAATAAAGCGCGGAGCGATGAACAACGCCACCATGGCATCTGCTACAGCCAAGTTTAGAAGTAGAAAGTTCATGGGAGTCCTGAATAATCATAAATAATAACATCAATACCGGTTCATTGTTAACACAATAAACCGGACACAAGACTCGAACGAGATTCAATTCCTTGCCCCATTTTTTAGTTATTTAACTAACAGACTCAAATCATGTTTTTGTTTCCTTTGTAAGTTCAAGTTAGCAGGGTTCTACTGTAGCAGTCTACCTTTTTCAAAATAGGTATTAGTTGAGACCAGTGTAAAGAAATCTGAGCATTTTAATTAATGCAGTGTGATATTCCTTGTTTAAGTTGTGTGTTGTGAAAAGAGTTAAAATAACGATGAGTGCAAGCTTTCTAAATCCGTTGCAGTCTTGGTGAAATACCTCATATCTCGGTTCAATATGATAACCAGACCCACGATTGTGTTGCCGATGAGATTCGTGCTGACCAAAATGGAGAACATGGTAGTGATCCCAATCTGTGCTGAATCTGAATCCGTGTAGAGCGACATGATCATTCTGATTTACTGCATGATAAATAAATCGTATAACAAAGGTCCTTAAGAAAAGGAACATTAAGTATGTCTCTGAAGTGGCAGAAGATGACTGGAACTTAAGATTTCAAAGGAAATTTAAGGAAGAATTCCCAAGGCACGCCGTGAACAAGGCTATTCGCTCTATTTGACCATCACAGCAGGTTACTTTTTTCTGCTTATTTGCAAATGCAAACAGGAAGGAGGACTTCTAAGTATTGATTAAAATATATGGTTATGTTTACCTAACCTTCTTTACAGCGAACCTTCTATTTAAACCTACCTTGAAGTAGAAGTGTGTTTTCTGATAACGTGTGTTTTTTTGCTTCCTTTTTTTATAGTTTTCATTTTCATTAACATTTTTTTTGTTGTTTTTGCCAACTTTTGAAAACAAAAAATGCTTCAACATAAAACAGAAGTCGAACATACGCAGAGAAGAACACAATTTTCTGACTAGATTTAAGAAATTGCTTCAACAAATTTATTTTACTTAGATGACGCATGCTTTAAAGCCAGTTCTTACGGAAGAAATAGAGTAGAATCTCGTGCAACCACGTTGCAGAGCCGAAGAAAACAAAAATTCGGATAATTGTTGCCTGAATTCCCCTGCGTCAGCCCTCATTTGACTTGCGTCAAAGACAATATCTGTTTTCTTGAAGAACTGATTTTAACACATGCCCATTAACTGTGCCGATTGTTTAGACCCGAAATAGATCTAGAAACAATTTTTGCAGGTCTCATAAACGTGCAGAGTCTCTCAGGGAAAGTCTGATATTTTACAATTATGACTGTTCATATAAGACAAAAGTGCGGAAAAACTTGTAATAAAAATGTCTTAATTTTCAGCCTTTAACGTTACGTTATGATAATGAACTCACCCAGTTTTATCAAAGGCATGGAAAAGCTTATTCTCAAACGTTATTGATGTACATTCACCTATTTTATCACTGAAAAGTTTCAATACACGTAGCCCGTTTTTCATTCTCAATCAGTAAATATGTTGCTTGTAATTTTAATTCATTATTATTAGAACTCTGCGTTAATTGCAAAAACTTAGGGTGCCTTTTTATTTGTTTATTTATTTTTGTGTTATTTTCTTTTCTGCTATATTTCAAGCTACATAGTATAAATTTTCATTTTTTTTTTGTTTTACAACTTTTTGATCAATTTGAGCATTCGAAGAAAGCAAAATAACGACAATTTTAAGACAAAAAGTCTTTTAATTTCTGGCATCGCACAATTTACATTCATTATGACAACAGATAATCTACCCAGCAAAGAAATGGCGAATAAAATAAACAGCAAAATGAAAACAGCGATCATATTTTCACAAATGCATGAAGACATATTAGAAGAATTGCTATTTCTTGGCCTAAGTAATGTTATTATGTGAGTTCCATGCTTACCTGTCCTTAGATCAGTAAAAATTTAATTCAACAGACTTCTTATTAAACAACTCTTCCACGAACTGCCAGGATGTGTTTTTTGACGTTATATCTCTACCGTGTTAAACAACTGATGAAACAATCAGGAACCCTTCGACAAAAATTCATATCAGTCAACGCTTAGATAACATATCACTCTTGCTTGCAGATAAGTAATTATAATAAATATTGACAAAGTATCTTTTGTATCCTGGGTCCACGCGGCTTCATAGATATGAGAGAGGAGGGGATTATGTTAATTTTGTAAACCAATTAATTAAAGTTTCTGTCCGAGCAAAGGTTGTGACAAGTAATAAAGAAAGTAATTTCCTTAATCCCTTTTGGACTAAAATAGCAACCACCTCCTTCTCTTTTTTTATCACAATTTTTTTCAAAGGGTATTTAAGACTGATTCTAAAGATTCACAAAAGGAACAAATTCACCCGTGACCATCATCGTTAAAAGTTAAATGAAAATTGGACGATATCATTTAAAGATATTTCAGGGAGAAGTAAGGAATTATCTTGAATATCTTTGGGACATAAAACATCATAAAATCCTGAAAATATCAGATTTTTTAAAGTGAATTGACGAAAAAAGTTAAATTCAACCATTGTTTTATATTTGTGAAGAATTTCACAGTATTTTTAGAGCGAATAATACATTTTGAGACAAATTTATTGACTCTCGGTAAGATCCACCGTCTGAGATTGATTTCCAGCTGAGATAAATCCACAATTTACGATAATAATGGCTGGCTTTATTTTATCCATAGTTTTAGCGAAAAAATCTAAGCGGATCAACAATTTACAGGTTTAGTTACAACTTGTGGTGTTAGCGTAGAGAAATTTTATTTCGTAATTTTGCGCATCAGTAAATGAACGAATATGCCAATGATAAATTATGTAGAATTCACAAAATGACGTGTTAGTGCAAATACACCAGAAATTTACAATAAAAGAAGAACAAGAGATAAGATGTATTTTATCGTCGCCACTTTTTTCAGACCTTACTTTGTCACAACTCTTTACTTGTAACTTAATTGTTCAAATTAAGGGTCAGTGAAACAAAAGTTATCTTTAGGGCGTACGTTCCTTCTCCGGAAATGTGCAAGAAATATCTCATACTACCTGTTTTCAAATTTGGAAACCCGTAGCTTTTAACTCATCTACTAGATTACGTAACAGAGTGTTTGATGGTAATGAAATGGTTTGAAACTTTTGAAGCACAGGAAAAAACACTGCCAGACTAGGTTCTCCCCCAAACCCCTCTCCTTTACCCCAACTGGCCCTTGTATGATAAATGCTGTCAGTGAACTTTCAGATAAGAAAAGAAGGTTAAGGAGTTTCTGAAAGACTCATTTTTCACCATCTTGGTTGAAAATGAAATTCGTGCCAGTACCTAAATGAATTATTTATGTAATTATGGTGTTATTAACACATTTGCATGCAAAGAGTCTCAGACTGATTTCCTCTGAAATGATTCCCATATCATTTTCAAAAAATAAAACTACAAAAACTGAAAATTTTACGAGAATGTTCTTCACTTTGTTAAATGTATCATACTATTTAAGATCTCCGCAAACTGCTATTTCTTATCCCAATTTACCAAACAATGCTTGAGGAAAAGAATTACGTAATTTTACTTCAAGATGAAGGTATCGATGACAAAGTAATCCTCTCGGAAGGTGTCCCCAATTTGTTTTACAAACACCTGAAATTTGTGTATTTTGAATGTATATTCTGGCCTGTTTTTCAATATAAAAATCGTCTGCTAAATATATCTAAGCTGAGTTGAAATCAACAACCAAAGCAATATAAGCAAGCTTTAAGTTAGTGAAATATGTAGCGTTACTGATTTGGTTATTTCTGGTAGAAATTCCTGCTGAGAAATATGAAGTACAAGTTTAATTAAAAATGATTTCTGCTCTGACTGACAATTCAGGCAGCAACAAAATTGAATTAAGACTTTTACTTCCTATCAGAAAATTGAACAATGCAAATTCATAAAAAGGAGGAAACACAATATGACTTGTTTCTTTAAATGCATCAGTAATTTAACTTGACATTTTTATATGGAACATATTCTGTCATTAATGATACTTTTCCTGAATTTGTTTCTTTGCGATCTTCTGTAACTTACCTGCTACAGAGTTTTTGGGACAATTGAGATGTTTACTTACCGCTCTCCCTGTCCGCAACCCGTAAAATAGCTGTTATCAGCGTTATCAAAACGATGCAGTTTTGGTTTAAACTGTGCTATGAGATGTTGAGTAAACAGGTGTACAACATCTATGAAGAAAGAGAAGTCTTTCGACTTGTTGACCCCATAGCAACAGTGGAAATGGATACTTCATTAATAAGGGATTTCTACTGCACCTTTCTTCTTTCATTTTATTTCAAAATGGATAGCCTCATATCCCTTGCGAAATCTTCATACTAGTAAGAATACCGTTCAATATATCTTTTTTTTAAGCAACAATGGAAATGGATATTTCATTAATAAGGGATCTCTACTGCACCATTCTTCCTTCATTATATTTCAAAATGGACAGGGTCATATCCCTTGCGAAATCTTTAAACCAATAAAAATAGTGTCCAATAGATCTTTTTCCTTTAATGCAGACCGAACAATACTCAATATATACTTTTTAATAAAAAAAATTATTTGTTTGCGAGAAATGAAGTGCAAGTGGCTGTGTTAATTCAAAGCGATTCATGATTCAGAATTCATTTTAAAATCTCGAATAAATTTTTTGGATTTTTAAACCAAGGATTACAATGAAGCTGTCATTTCAAATCTTATGTGGTTATACAATGATTTAGAATTATAAGTTGTGTAATAGCTGCAAAGTAACGGTAGGGAAATAAACTTTGTTTATTGGTGCATTTGTTTAGGGAGATAAATTATCCCAAAGATATTTTTATTTTGATTTAAACTTCGGAATTGATTTGATTTTCTTATGAATTCTTTTAGCCCTTGAAACCTACTCCAGGCTAACATGTTTTTTGTTTTTTTGTTTTTTTTAATAAATACTTATTCGGCGCAAATATCTATATGAATATATTCAGACGCGCCTTACAAGTTACAAACCTACCCAACCCAACCAGGGGAGGACATCATGAAAATAGGAAAATATCTTCTAGCCTGATCAAAGCGAAGCAGAAATGGCTAAATTTTTTCTCCGAGGTATACAGCTAACAGGTGTGTAGCGCCGTAAAAGAAGTCTTACGAAACATTGACACCATAGCAACAGTGTAAATGGAAATTTTACTTCAAAAAATGCCTTAGGCTAAGCCGTCTCCAATGATTAATCTCTGATGAAAATTCACTTTAATGTATTTTCTTAAGTCACGCAATGGCAGAAGTAATAATGATGCAGAATTTTCCAAAAGCGATGAGGTATGGGCAGAAAGGAATAAAGATACATGGGCCAAAGTTTTAAGTCATTTGAGTAAACAAACACTCCTGGTAAATGCAAGAAAAAGACTGCAATTTACTTTTCGGCAACGATTGGTTATCATTGGTCATGAATAAACAATAGACGCCAATACAGCAAACATAAACAAAAAACACCATCACAAAAAATACACTATCAGTTAACGTATGGATAAATCCAAGCTAATCACAGCGGACATTGTCATAGGAAAGGCGCAATCTTAGTTGTAATTGTCATCCAACGGCACCTAACCAACTTGTATAGATTTTGACGAAACTGCTGACTTCGGAGACTGTACACCACAGGGTTGATAGAAGAGTTGATGGTCGCGAGTACTATAGTTGTCTTGTGCGGAACAGAATACATAGACTCTGATGGAATAACATTGGCTAAAAAGTAGATTATTAACGTGGGTACCCAGCACACGACGTATATAGCACTCACTAGTAAGACCATGGTGGTAATTCGTTTCCTGGATCGGATGAAAGCCATTTGAGAGAGGTTTTTACCGACAGTGCTATTGAACCAAAGGTGACGTGCCACCTGGAAGAAAGTTTTATGCTGTTAGCTTTCTCTTGATAGATAAATTCACGTTGAATCCTTCCGCTTGGAAGTAATCTTTTGTTATTAAGTTAGACAGTCAGTCAGTCAGTCTCTCAATAAAATAGTCAGTCTCTCTCATAGTCCATCAGTCAGTCAGTAAGCCTGTCAGTCAGAAAGCCAGTCATTCAGTCAGTCTGTCAGTCGGTCAGTCAGTCTGTAAATTAGTTACTTACAAGTTATTAGTTAGTTAATTGGTCAGTTAGTTAATCGTTTAGTTTGTTAGTCAATTAGCTATATATTTAGTTTATAAATTAATCAATTCTTATAGGCGGATTTAAGCTGTGTGTATTAATTGACATGTGCATAACAACCCATGGAAGTCCCTCAGCCCCCTTCTCTGGGATTTAATGAAAATGAACCTGTATCACTTGATATCTCACCTTGAAGTAAATAACGCTCATGACAACAATAGGAATTACACCTCCCACAATGATCCATCCAAAGCTATAAATCTTTGGTAGTATAGAATGAGGCCATTGTTCTGCACACGTCTTCATTTCATCGTTGTATGTGACTGAAAGGTATAGGGGAAGGCCCCATAACACTGCTATAATCCAAATGACCACAACAGTCGCTCGAAGGCTTCTCCCCTTACCCACCCGTCTCTTAAAGGGTTGAAAAGTGGCATAGAAAACTTCAACAGCGATAGCAACCAGGCTGTAAATTGACGCAACTGCTGCAGTCCATGCAGTGGTTCCCCCAGAAATGAATCTACAAAGATATTCCCCTATTTGTCCCGCTGGATGGGTAAACGTTGGGCCAATCACAAACTTGATCCCCATAAAGATGGCTACCAAGATATCAGCGATCGCCAAATTGATCAAAAGGTAGTTCATAGCTGTCTTCATGCTTTTGTTCTTGAGGATAACTAAGATGACCAGAGTATTGCCAAGAAGGTCTGTTATAATCATGAAGGAAAATGCCACAGCGAACCCAATGTATTCTGAGGATACATTCTCTGGGTCTCCTGTGCGCATAAGAAACTTCATTTAATATTAAGTAACTATCTAGAAGTATCAAATTATTTTATGCTAAGAATATGCTTATTTCATGTCTTTGAATCAAAATATTTGGGGTGCGAGTAGGCTTTCATGATTAGCTCAGCAGGACGCACGTTTTTCCGCCCGTAGGAAGATTCGAGACAGAACAGGAAGAAGTTTGCAAGGTTTGGTAATTAACATACGTGGGCGGCATGATAATACATTTTTGGACCGCCAGAGCTTATACAGTTAACATTATGGTGATTCACTTTTGAGTCATTAAGAACAAATTTTAACATAGACAGATGTGTACGGCTTCCAAATACGACTCTGATTTTGCTTTATTTTTATCCTCATTCTCCAATCCATTAACAATAAAGAAATTATTTCTCGTCAATATTTGAAGAAAATGCAAATATAATTAATTTTTGCCAAGAATTATTTATGAGCTGATGGAAAAAATTGGGTCATTGCCGTTTTCTTTCGTCATTTGTCGCACTTTGTTGGTCATAAACTCTCACGTTAAATTAATTGAAGGTAAAAACAGCGCACACCAATTAAAAAAGGAAGCGGACTAAGCAAGTATTTTTTAGCTACGCAAACGGAAAAATGTCTTGAGGGACATCAATTTGCTCTGCGTAGATTGTAGAAAGACACATTCGTTTTATGACGATAATTTTACGTTATTGTCGCTTTTGATAGCTTTAGAATCATGCCCTCTTCACTGCGATTTTCTATACATGGCCAAAAAAATTTTCACTTTATTAATGCGATCTGATCAGTTTCAAACGGGCGACAACAAAAACATGGATGCAGCGATCTATATAAACATGAGCACTCAGACATGTCTGGTTTCCTGTTTTCATTTACCCTAAGCCTTAAATTGCAAGACGCTTTTAAAAAAAAAAAAGAACTGTTTCCGTTGCATTTGCACTTTGAAACCGTATTAAACCTTGCGTACAAGCATATAGAACATTTTTCAAATTTCTTCCATATCATGTTCTGTTTATAGACTGTACTCACCTAAAAGTCTGCTGCACCCTAACAGTGAGATGTGAACGACAAAATAATAAAAAGTAACTCAACGTAAAACTTTTCCAAAATTAGAGGGTGCAATGGTTCGTTAAGGTGATTAACATCTGCTGTGTTGAAAAAGATAAATCGATTTTGGTTCGCTTTTTTTCTTTTCCTTTTTTTCTTTTCCTTTTTTTCAATATGGAGAGCTTGGCGGCGATTTAATGAAAATGTAAAAAAAGTATACAAAAGATTGGGGAAAAAAAGTTAAATAAGTAATTTTTCTTCAGTGAATCGGAAGATATAATATTTCCCTTCAAACTTATGTGATACCGTTCTTAAAGATCGCGAGGGCATATCAGCTGTCTTATAATTAATCTTTCCAAGATTGCACCAGGGAAAATTTTAAGCTTAATCTGTATTACTGACAATGATATCATCAAGCTTAGGCCAAAATAAATTGTGGAATGAATTCTTAAAATATTCAGAAAATAAATTTATTTTTATTTTCTTTTTCAACTTCACGGCATGCCTTATTTTACGATTTGGACAGAAAGGAAACTCAGACCTCAAATACATTATTTCACGAGGAAAGAAAAACTCCCAATGTTTGCTCTTTTTCATGCGCGATTCGTTTAAAATGCTACTGTTGATAGATATAGCTAAGCTTTCCTCAGCCTCCAGTGAAATATCACATAAAGATGTAATCATTAACACCAGCAAACATTTTGATGGAGGTACCCTCTTTCAGAGAATCGAAAATAAATAATTGCTTCCAAAAGGTATATGATAAAAGCGCGTGAAGGCCATTAATGAATCATGCTCTGGGAGGTAGTAGACCAGCTTAATTAATGCTCTGAGAGATTTCATTTGGGAAAGTTTCAAAATTAAGCTGCATTTTATAGCAATATACTCCACAAAGTTAGGCAAAATAAAACTTAAGATGAATCAAATATGTCAACAAATTATGAAATTATTCACCTTCCAGACGCACTATATTTTTACCTGTGGTCAAAGCGGAAATAAGTTTGCCACTAAACAAAGGAGAATCCTATTTAAAGGTTTTCCGCCATTATCTCTGTTTTGATCGTAGATGTCAATAGCAGTCTGTCAGTTTTTTTTTCTTTTTTGCATGTTAAGAGATGATTTTTTTCTCCTGAACTCGATTTTGTTTGAAACAACGTATGTTAAGCTCAAAAAAACCATCTGCCGTTTTCTTTATTTGAAATAATGAGAAGATTAAAACTACAAGCACGACTCCCCTCAGCCTACCATGTTTTTCAAGATAAATTGATCAATCTAGGTTCGCCATACTCGAGTGCGTTGCTCAAATAGAACTTTGGAGGCTTTGGAAAAGGTTTGGAATCAATTTTAAATGAAGAACGGCTACATCGATATCTGTATTCTTGACTTAGAGAACAGGCGCATCCCGCGACCATCAGAATTTTTAATTTTCCATGTTGAATTTTAAATGTTTTGTTCTAAAGAAGAGAGAAACGAGAATGTTGCTTAGTTTAAAATATGTTTCCTTAAATCACTATTAATAAACGTAAGCTATTAAACTCCACTAACCTGCTGAAGTTGTTTCGTTCCATTTCATTGTTAGACGCCTTTACCACCAACTCAACATCACATCAAACTGAGACAGTGTGGTTTATAATTTTATGAGCTCTACAGCCAGACCACTGAGAACGTCACGCTGTAGAGCCAAAAACCTTCCAAATGTGTAATTTCCCTCAAGAAAAACCACAATCTGCTTGTTGGTTTTCAATCGAATGTTTTCCGTTCTAAATAGCCTTGACCATCAATGAAATGGATATATTTTTACGGCCTTTGATGTAAATGTCAAGATTAATATCCTTCTTAATTTGCGACGTAAGTCTTCTCGAAAGAACGCAGACTAAAATTCAAATATTTGTTTCCTCACGCACTCAGTGTATTTTTTAATTTAAGACATTACTCTTCCCATGAATAATCAACAGCTTATATCTATTGTGCAATATGAAACTAAAAATTTGATTTGTCACCAACAAATTTCAACTTTTGCCTATAAGAACCGTGACACAGTTCGAAATTTAATGACCTTAAAAAGACACATGATGTCCTTCGCATGTGTGCCTATTGGGTAATAGAGAATCATCCCACCGACTTGCTTCATAATTGTTTTAAAGCGCCAGAGAAAAATGAGTTTTAATTGTTACGTTAGTGGCGTGCATCTAAAGAGAGCAGTTTTGACAAACTCATTAAAAAGGTATTGCGATCCAGTCTCGTTATGATCCTTTAACAACTCAAAAATACAACATTACCATATTTCGTGCGAGCGCAAAAGTTCAATGATCAACAAAAAAAAAAAAAGGTAGCCGACGGGGAGGAAGGACGAGTAATAAATTTTAGAGATGTAAGTAGCCACTAAAAAAAAAAATGATTGCAGCTGCCATCAAAAGAAAATGTTATACATCAGCTCGACGTTCCCACTAGTTGCGACGCTTATGAAAAAAGAATTAATTTTCTTTCGCATTTAAAAACGAAGAAAACAATCTTATATTTTCCCTTGTTTCATCTTTTATTTATTCATCTATTCTTGCCTAAATTAATTCAAGTAGGAATGAATGGTTAAGAACCAGCTGAAGCTATCCCGTCAATTGTATTGTCATAATAAGAAATATGGAAACTATCGCGCTCGTTGGTTGAGAGTCTTATCAAATAAGATTACTAGAGTACTTCTGTTTTTCCCATGTCTCTCTTGATTCAAAGATGATGTTAAGAAAAAGTTTATGATTTCTTTAAAACTTCATTTTTGGTATACGTCTTTCCTATCCTGCCAATCTATAGCAACACAAATATGCTTGGAAGACTAGCCAAGGTGAACTGATAAGAGAATGCTTTTCATTTTTTTTTATAAAGGTAACAGCAATTAAGCTGTCTATCTTTGTCCATCGGTCATCAAGTCATGCGTAGCTTACGAATCATAATGGATCTTGTATTTCGCAACGTTGACTCTTGACAAGATGAATTTCTACCTTAATTTTTAGTGCAGCCTTACTTAAGATTCAGCAAAACAAAAAAAAATTAGCGATATCAAAACTGTAAGGGACCCACAGATGAAATAAGAATTACACTTCATGGGAAATTCACAAAGAAAAAGAGCGTCTTAAGACTGTTACATAACAGTAAGATAAATCAAGCCTCCCGCCTTCTTCATAATTTAACGAGGTACATGTTCTTCGAACCAATAATCTAGTCATTAATCCAGGGCGAAGATGAAAAGTAGAAAGCAACGTCAAATAGCAGAGCAAGTAAGTGGTGTACAGACGCTAAGAAATGAAATTTGAGTGCGCTAAATTGGGATAATCAAACGGTGTTATCTAAAACCATTTCTAAGTCTTTCACGATATCTTTGCTCCTCAAGCAGTACGAGGAACTTTTGAAAGGAATCTTGGCGCTGCAGCAAATTCTAAAGGAAAACAATTTTCGAAATTCTTTGCGAAACTCCTCGTTTGCCAAACAGTATATCCATGGATTTATACACGAGTTCGACAAAGCCAAAACCAAAAAGTAGTCGCTTATTGGACTCGATAGAGACGTCACTTTAAATATACTAAGGATATAGTTCAGTTGATCTGGAAGCCAACACAGTGTTAAGAAGAGTGCTGTCAAAACACACATGTGTAAAAGTCTAGTTTTTGTCTGGATACCGCTGGCTGTATTAATTGCGGGTGATTTTCTCACGCTTATCCAAATATGGAGGAAGGAAACCCATGTTACAAAGCTTGGAATAACAAATGTGACGAACACGTATGATATTACCATTGCTTTCAGGCTGATTGGCCTAAGCGTTTCCTCTGCCCAACGACATCCATCTTCGCTTGGAATTCTCCGAGACAGACGGTACAATTGTAAGACACAATTTGAAATCCAAATTGTAGTGATATAACACGCCAAACGTCTACTCGAAAACTGTATTCTGTACTGTAGAGGTTTAACAGACGCGAACCATCGCTCAATTGCCAGGCACATCACCATTAGAACAGAAGCTTTGCCCATGGTGAAGATAAGGAACTTTGTGTCAATCAGATGACAGAATAAGCTTAATCCAGTCATACCTGTAGGATATGGGAATTTATCTACCGGTACTATAAAACACGGTGTAACTACGATAACAGCACCTGGGAATAAAGAAACAAATGACCGTGAATAAGACATTATATATATATAAATTCTAGGTAACGGTATCTAGATCATAACAATGTGCATTTTAGGAAATGAAAATGACATCAGCATCAAACGACAACAACACCAAAAACATAGGGGCAGCTTCAGCACAACCATTAGATTCTCAGCGTACCACCCACATTAATGGATGACTTGTGGTGAAAAGTTGGATTGTCAAATTGTTGATCAAATAGCAGAAATAAAGATTACATGTCTATTTCAAGGTGATTAAAAAATTGGATACCAATATTCACCAAGAGTACAGGGATTACTGTAACAATTTTACTTTCCAAAATTCGTACCTGTAACCATATCCGTCATTGCCAAAACAATCAGGAGGATGTTGTAAGCCTTTTTTAGAAGACATCGCTTTCTAAGTAGAACCACACAGAAAAATAAGTTACCAAAAATTGAGAGAAAGGCGATTAATCCAAAAACAGCTTGCAGGACAACTCCAGAACAGTTCCCAGGAGTCCTTTTTGTCGAGAACAGAGAGGGCGTCACGTTGATGAAAGTCGTTGGCAGAGCTTTCATTTTATAACTAGAGCCCTGTTAAGGTAAGAACTATAGCATTCTTCAGTCCAACATTACGGCTGGACTTTTCTTAGCGACAACTACTAAATTTCAAATGAATCTGGCAGCTTTTAATTATGTACTGCTTTACAAACAAAACAAAACCAAGTGACAGTAAAGCGTAATTGAAATTAATCAAACATTCTTGTTCGGTTTCCAAAGGCTGTAAAGTAGGTTTTCAAACGCCCTAGCTGTGGTTGGTCCATATCGTGTTTTTGTTGGTTTTCAATTTGACCTGTCATGATTTATTTATTCAATCTTTTTTACTATGTTTCTATTTCTGTTATTTTACGTAAATGAAGGTAAACATTTCACAAATTCAATGTTTCTTTTTCTTTCTCTTTTTTTGGTTTGCTTGTTGTTTTTCCTATTCTATTTTCCTATTGTCTTTTTCCATTGTCTTTTCTGTGATTTTGTCCTCTGAGAATATTCATTTATTACTCGCGCTGAAAAAATTCTAAACATGAATTAATGCTAAATTTACTGCCATTTGCACATGCACTGAAGGCTTTTTAGCATATTGGCCATTGAAATAGTATAAAGTATTTGAACAAAAGTTTCCATTTGACGCTCTGAAATTGTTCAGCGTCACACATTCAGAGAGGCATTTTTTAAAAACCGGAGAATAAGAGCCTCAGACCCTCATACTTTGGCGCTAATGATTCATTCCCGGATATATCTGGAAGCGATGCATGAAACTCAGTATATACACGCCAGTATTTAGAAATACTAAAAAGAAAGCCTAATAACGAGAGAGGAAACTAGGCTGGTACAAATAACGCGTCCGGAAAATAATCAAGGCATCTTTACCCTAGATTGACCATGAATGGGATTAGAACCAGTAACAAATATTTACTAAAGCACGTTTTCTAATGCTTCAATTACTGACTAAGTATCATTTTCATATCGCGCGACACAAAATCAGGATTGATTCAAGAAGGAGGGCTATTTAAGATATTTAGCAGAACTTGTATGGCTAAAATTTCTGTGAATAACTTATTCGTGAGTAAGCTGATTCTTGAAATGAAAACATGAATAAAAATAGATACAGGTAATACTTTGCGATATATGATGTACTGATTCCATAAAAGATCAGATAGACTTTGTTGGGGGCTTCAAGCCGGAAATTGACGAAAAGCTTATTATGAAAAAACAATTATAAGAGGAGGTATTGGCAACACTTATGATAGCCATTTAAAACTGGATGAATGTTTCCATTAGAAGCTTAAAAGACCTCCAACAGATGAACCTTATCTGTCATACATTTGATAATATCTTGAGATGACATGATAATCACAGACTTTTCCTGCCTTAAAAAGACATTTCAATTTTTGCTCGGAAATTTAAACGTCTACATCTGACTTGAAACAGGTTTTTACTTTTCAGTAAATTTCCTTTTCTGTTTTTTACCAAAACAACGATCGTTGAATTACGTCCGCTTAAAAATGTTGGTTTTATAGATTTCCAGATCAAATTATCATTTTATATGCGAGCTTTTGATTTTAAGAAAGCATCATTTTGACTATTACTTCCGAATAACTGCCTAAATCAAATTGTTTTCCTTGGTGTTTTTGTTTTTACACAAAACAAATTCTAGATATGCTTTTCATTTTACGGTATTCTTCTAAGTAACTGAAATCGTATCTTTGAATCGATTTTCCCCCCAAGATTCTTGTGATCAATTGGAAGCAAGATATAGCATCTAAAAGACAATTTTTTGATCTCTGAACACGCTAACTAAAAAATAGCTAATGATCTGACTATGGGGGAATACAGAGTGAAGCGTTTTGATCGTGGACAAGATAGTTTTCTAGAAGGGCTTTTTCTTTTCTGTTTTATTCAATCCATGGTAGAAATCAAAGAGAGCAAATAATGGCGAATACATTTAAAACTTATGCAGTTTATCTCAGACAGGAGATAAGTCTTCTTCTTTCCTTTCCTTTCCTTTTAGATCTTCTTCTATTTTAGTTTTACCTCTCACAGGTGAAGTCCTTCCCTGCATTCTACTTAAGGAGAAGTTTACCTCACTTTCTAGCTATTGCTTTCTTTTGAATCTTTCTTAGACAATTTTCCAAGACTCCTAGGCAGACAAACGAAACCGTCATTAGTAGTTGTACCTTGGGGGTAAGATGAGGAGTTCATATCTTTATATATCAAGCTGATTTATGATTGACGAAATGGAATAAAAATTCATACAAGCCCTTTCGATTCGCCATTGTCAAAGAGAATTTCAAAACTGCTTGAATCATGCAATAATACGAAATCAGAGGTAAAGGCGTCTAGCTCGCTGCTTCAACTCCGAAGAACAAAAAATGTTATTTCTCATATTAATGTCTTTTACGCAGAAACCACAATAATTTGTACGTGCTTTATTATATTTTTCCCCTTTTTTTCCTCAGGGTTGTCATGGGTGACGATGCACTTAATCTCAAAGTACGCAGTACTCTTCGCGTGCGGTTTGTTTATGTCCATTCTTGCAAAGTGAACCGGAAAAATTGTATGCAATATTGCCTCAGTATAAATTACCCAAAAACAATTTTAGCCATTTTCCTTCTCGGCAGCTGCAAGAATAATACATGCGTACACAAAAAGTACAGAGCATATATTCCTGGTTATTTGGAAAACGAGTCAGTAAGCAAGAAGGGTCTTATGAGTTCAACATCACTTCATGATGCTGAACATATCATACCAAGGTGGTAACCAGAGCTTTGAAGAAGCAACGCTTTGTTGCAGGCATTTAGACGTATTTTTCAGCAAAGCCGATAGCGATGTCATCCTGTTGTCAGACACAATTGTCTGTGTGATTAATTCTGTATTTAGCGTAATCGCCGTGTTCGCCAACATACTCATCTTGTACGCTTTGTACAAAGCCTCGTCGCTGCACTCTCCATCTAAAGCGTTGCTATGCAGTCTCGCTTTGTCAGATCTGGGAGTCGGTGCTATAGTACAGCCATTATTCGTGGTCTACAGATGGGCACAGATCAACGGAATTCTTCACAAATATTGCAAGGAAGGAATTTTCTCTCATATCGAAGGAAGTCACTTCTCGGCTGTTTCATTTCTTACAATGGCGGCTATTAGTATCGACCGGCTCCTTTCGCTGGTCCTTCGCGTACAATATCATTCCACTGTCACCCTAAGAAGAGTTATTTTCCTGCTAGCTTTAATTTGGATAAGCGGAGGCTTATGGTCGTCATTTTGGACCAGAAAACAGGATTTATACTCGCTTATAGGCATGATACAAATTCCAGTCTTTTTTTCCATAACGTTCTGCGCTTACTTAAAAATCTACCTCTGCCTTCGCAAGCAAGCTTGTAGGATGGGAAGGCACGTGAACCCACTGAAATGCATCAGAAAAACACATGGTATGAATTTCGCTCGCTACAAGAAGTCTGTAGTGAGCATGTTTTACCTATTTTGTGCTTCAGTGGTCTCATTTCTGCCATATCTTTGTCACAAAGTTGCAGTAGCCATTTCTGGATGGAATACTTCAACTTCGGTTTTGTTTAGCTTTGCTCTCACCATGGTTTACATGAACAGTTCTGTGAATCCTTTAATATACTGCTGGCGGATTTCAGAGCTGAAGCAAATTGTACTTAATGTTCTCTGTCGTAACCGTTCAGTAGTGAAAGAAGTCAAGTTCGTAACCTCTAGAGACCAAGTAAAAATTCGGTCTTAGAGTAGCTCAAAGTGATGATTTCCCGCACTTGAAGACAATTCTGGGATATGGATCAACATACCAGAGATTATTCTCCCAGCGTTACCTCCGTGATGTCACAGAAAGAAGATATAATTGCAAACTACTTGACTAACTGATTTTAACAACCCGGTGCCTCAGGTTAGCCGTGAAAATCTTGGATCTACAAACACGGCTTTTTAGGAAAAGTATTCTTTATGTTGGCCTTTCTCTAAAGTAGCCCTCTTAAAATGAAAACAGAAACTTTTAGCGCGAGAAAATTTTAACCAATTTAAGATTGCAGTACCGCGGGATCGCTGCTACTGAACTTCGACTGTATAACAACCCCAATTCATGTTTATTCCAAAAGTTGCAGAGTCATTGCCATAAATTCCGAAACATCAGAAATTGTTTTCGATAAATGTAGTCAAAACGTCAACGTGCTCGCTCACTTTCAGTCTGAAAGGTAATTGCTGAAACTTTGTAGGTCAGTTTTCAAAGCTAAAACTGAACTTTAATAAATCAGCTTGAATAAGCCTACAGAGGTTACCATCTGTTATTTCAGCGACATTATTGAACTTTGCGGACGTAAGGCTTAAATATAATTTTAGCGATCGAAAGATATTGATCTTCCAGAATTGTTTACACTGTTTGATGCATTTCCTGTTGACCATATATGCTTTATAACTTTCATAGAATTACGTGATGATTCGTGATTTTGTGTGTTTTCCTTGTTTGTGATCACCAGGCTTGCGCAGCCGGCAGATCCTACGGAAAATGAAAGGGCGCGAAATCAAGCATTTGTTCTGTGCTCGAAGCTCGCGGCTCGCTGCTCTTTGTTCTCTGCTCGAGCAAGAAGCTCGTAGCTCCGCTTCTTGATTCTTGCTAACAAAAACGAGTTGCGAAGCTTCAAGTTGAGAAGTAGGTTTCTCTTATTATTGCGTTCCACGCCTTTCGCCGCTTCGCTGCTTAACGTTTCAAAGTGCACATTAACTAGTAATTATATTATTACGTAAGTATATTTGAATAAAGAAACTATAAGCGTGGATCTTAAGTATATCTTGAGGTCTCCTTCAGGCAAAAAGTAGTTTGGTTTATTAGCGGGCTTAGAATATCATAATGTATTTCGTATGACATTTACCTGAGACAAACTTGGTTATCACTGAATCCGCCAAATGTGAGCTCTAATTCAGTTGCAAACAAAACTATTGTTTCAAAAACAATGCGTCATCCTTCAGTAATATTGGCTCTCTCTTATTCATTCGGTGAATATTCAGAGAGTTCTAAGGAGGATCCATGTACGTGTATCACTAAGTTGGAAGTGATTCAAGAAATCAAAAGCTTAGATGTCCCCAACGATAGATTTACAAGCACGGCAACCTTACAGAGTATGTTTCGAGAATGAAATAAAATGAATTTTACGGAGCTAACACTTGCTGATGTCGTTTGTGGTCAGTTAACAATGCTAACCTGTCAATATTTTGAAAATCCAGAACGATAAAAAATACCATATAATCATATATACAATCTCCCGTAACACACGATTATAATCGAAAAGAGCAGAATCAATATTTCATATTAAGCCGAATAATGATGCGTCAGCACGCACGAGCTTAGTAGAGATGTATGAACTGACCCTTTGGTCTCTAACATCAGTATACGTAGTCCCTAAAGGCCTTGGTGTAATTTACCCAAAAACCGGTCTTCTCTGAAAACCCCCGAAACCAAATGATTGTGTCAGGGACTCATTTTAACTCTTTTCAAAACATTACTTTTTTATATCGTTTTAAAATAAACTTTTATTCATTGCCAGCGTTGATTAACTCTTTGACTCCCAAAAGTGATAATCGTGTAACCTCTCAGTCCCTATAATAGAAGTACATTATCCAGGAACCAGGTAATGAGAATACTTTAACTTATCAGGTAGAAGTTGTTATCTTGATCTAACACCTAATTCTCATTACTTACTTACACGGAAATGCGTAGCAGCTACAATCAGATCTTGGGAGTTTAAAGGTGAAACAAATGGCGGCTTTTAGTTTTCGTATTACCAAGATGTATAATATTCCTTTCTCAACAGTTCTAATTAAAAAATAGCAGGCTATAATAAAGTATGACTAAACAGACACATTACGTTTATATACCTGAAAGACAAGTTTTTTTTTACATGTCGACCTTGGAGATGATTGAAACTTATCCACTGGCTCTTTTGTTTTGCATTAAATTTTGAGTGCTTTTTGACAACTTTCTTTAATCCAAATAATTATTTCTTTTTTTCTTAATGATTATGGTTTGATTGTAATGATTTGCGTTTTAACTCATTCTCGCCTGAAGGGAAGCTTTAATCAAAAGACGAATCATTTGAATATCATGAATGACGATGTTGATCAAAACTGTAGGAATAATTGCGTAAATAACACGAAAGTAAAGAATAAATTTATGAAATAGAAACATTGAAAAGAAAAGTTTTTGAGGCATGCAATTCAGTGATGCGAGCATTTTCAACTTAGAACATGACTACGCATACAACATTGTTATACGCCGCGGAATAAGCCTCCAGGGAAGATCATTCAGTGATAATTTTATAGAGTACAAAAGCAGCTGTGGATTCAGAAAATTCTAGTCAGTGACATCGATCAACAATCGGCCTCTAGCTAAGTGCGCAAAAACACATAATACTCCAGAGCTAATGGATTTTTATCCTGCCGACTATTATCTTACGTTAGCGTGATAATATATCTCAAGTTTCCTTCGCCTAATTTAGTGTTTTCCCTTTTTTTAGTAGTAGGATTTATTTTTATATATATTTCCTGAAAATCTGAGCGGGTAGGATTAGCTAAATCCTGTAACCTGATCACCTTATTTCGACAACAGACCCGACACAAGGACTTTCTCATCAAATTCACGAAAACAGAGCGGAACTTTCGTTTTAGCGATTTGAAACAACTCTTGCGAGCTAAATTTCTCGTTTCGAAGATTTCAGGAAAAGATTTTACGCATAAATTTTTAGCCGCAAGTCATCCGATTCAGAAATACATTTACTTTTAGCGATTGCAAACTCTTCCCAACGGGTAACATTATTCTTTTAAAGATATGGATCACCTGCTGGGTAAATAACTTAAATATTAAGAGCATAATATATAACTTAGTTCCAAAATACAAACAGAGTTCGTTGCCTTAATAAGATATTACATGATATAATCCGTTTTTAGATTTTAATTATAGTTTATTCTAGGTGGGACTTCCTCGATAGAGAATTTTTGGTAATGATTATACCAGGTTTGAATTAAAGCAGAAAACTGTTTATTCTTATTTCCAATCATCCTTTTTTTTCAAGAAGAGAGAATTTACCAATCAATTTCGGCATTTTTCAACAATTTGTTAATTGTTGTCATATTTCATCATTTCCACTTTTTCATGTCGTTCTGATCGTAAGTCCATAGGATTGTAGAATTGTCGCTAATACAATCTAACAAAAAACAAGAAGAACCAGACATCAGTGACATTGTTTATTCCACTGGTCAATATAACCATGAGTAACCATGCTTTTGAGTTATTTCCGTCGATTCGTTTCAATCGCAGAATTCGAGGAGATACATCTATTTCAAGGACATACTTAAATGTCCAAAAGACGGGGAAAAATCTAGGTTTTTCAGCATTTAACAAAGCCTGGGTCAGTTCTCCACCTAACTTTTGTCATTATCGGTGCATGCATGTTTGCATAGGAGATTCTACTTTGACGAATACCAGATAATCTGTTTATTGTAGACATTATCGGCTGCGATTTCATTGGCCGGAGACACCATTTTATATGCTTTGTGCAGAGAGTCAGAATTAAATCAGCCGAGGATCATATTCCTGTCCGTCAATTCTAAACAGGTGAAAACAAATTTACGTCAATTTTAATTGCAAATAGCCAAGTTAAGGTTCCTTATAACCAGAAAACTAGATGCATATGCATCATTTTCAATTGAGGATAAAAGACTAACGTTCGGACCGCAAATTGATAGTTGTTACATAAAGAAGAGCGAAGAGCTACAGAGCGAGGATGGTCGTCAACGCATCCCCTGCTAATTCGAGCGCTGATCTTTTTACCTGTTACGATCCGTCCATTTTCATTCGAGCGCCAAGCACACTCCACACGAACTACATTATAGTTGCTGTTTTCAACGCTATCCTCTCAGTAACAGCCACTTTGGGTAATACTTTGATTCTGTTCGCGCTTAAGAAAGCTACCACCCTGAATCGTACTTCAAATTACCTTCTGTGCTGTCTCGCTGTTTCTGATTTGATGGTCGGCCTTGTTGTACAGCCATTACACGTTATTTACTGTATATACGGAATCATCGGTGGTTCTAAAGTACGCTGTTACTCGCGAATCCTCTTCCAGTGGACATCAGATTATTTTTTTGCAGTTTCCTTTCTGACGATTGTGGCTATTAGTGTGGATCGCTATTTCACCTTATGTAAGCGTCACGCTTATCGGTCAACCCTTACAGCCAACAAAACAAGAGCAGTGATTGCATTTGTTTGGATAACTTGCCTGAGTTTCCCTCTTGGTCGTCTTGTGAGTTCTTCCATTTCAATGATTCTGTCTTCCGTTATTTTTATCATTTTTCTCCTGATCCCATCATTCACGATTTTCAAGATTTACCGCTTTCTCAAACAACACGAGATTCAGATTTCTTCTAGTATGAAAAAATCTTCTGCGGCGGGCGTTAAAACCGGAGGATTCGATGTTTTGCAGTACAAACGCTCCATAGCAACATTGATCTGCGTCTACCTTACTCTCCTTGTTTGTTTTCTACCATCAATCGCTGTCACTGCGGCCTGGATAACTGCGGATCGACCTGGAAAATTACGACTCATCAAAGTGGGAAATTTCTCACTGACTTTTATAATGTTTAATTCAACCCTTAACCCACCCCTGTATTGTTGGAGGATCAGAGAGGTTCGTCAGCTAATAATCAACTTATTGAATAAATTTTTTTGTTGTAAGATCGATCGAAATCACAGAAATAGTGTTTCTTCTAAGACTTCTGAAGATACCCGTTTGTAACTTGGATTCCGTGCGGAACAAACGCCCACTGAACGTTCAAATTCAGGAACATTAACTATGACATTATGCCCACGAAACATTAATTAGTCTCGCGCTTTTTCTTATTTGTACTATCACTAAGAATAGAGGAGCCTGTAGCAGTAGAAGACAGGTTTCAGAATTGAAAAACATCTCTGTAATTTTTAAAATATATATCCTCAAAATGTATGGTTTAAGCATATGGACGAGACGAATTTCTACGCTTTCTAATGGTTATGGCACTTAAGGAAATTGAAGATAATGAGTGCACGTTCATAAGCAAACCTTAGGAAGTAGGTGGGCGTTGAGGATTTTCTTATTTTTGGATGAATGTGTTATTATTAAATTGTTCTTCCTGTGTAACATTTACCGAAAGCGATACAGCGCCCACGAAATGTTGAAAAATGAAGAGTTTAATTGTTTTCCCTCAGTTTTGCATTATCGTCATACATAATGATGTATTTAATAATAACTGAAGAGTAGGGAACAATATTTAATTTTCAAATGCTGTCAAAAGACTTAATCATCATTTTTTCAAAATGTCAAAACGCACTAAAAAGATATTGTAAAGATGAATTCAAATAGATTAATTATAGAGGTCAAAATATCAGGCAATGTTGTTCTAATTTCGTCTTCCTATTTTGGCCAAAGTTCTTTCTGGACATTTTTTGTTTTCTCTTTTTGTTTTGTTTTGTTTTGTTGTTGTTGTGGTTTTTTCTTTTTTTCATTCCAATTTTTCGTTTTCAATTGGATTTTCCGTTTAGCCGTTTTAGTGATTTATAAAACGCCGTATTCAGCAGGCTAAACCGGTTCTCTCGGGACTCAAGATATTTCTAAGTGTAGCGCGGTATCATGCCACAGTCACATTTTTTAATTCTGATCTAGTCAATATCTGATATATTGCAAGTAAAAAGTATTAGTTAATTATTATTTGAACACCTGGCTATTATGAATATAGTGCATATTTATCTCGCTTTGTGTTGATATAAAAGAATTGTTATGTGATGAATGACTATAAGAATATTAAAGCTTTCGTTCCCATGATCCTTAAAGTAAACTTCTTAAGTGATGATCGCTTCTTTTGCTGGCTGATCAATCTCTTTCTTCTCGTTACCTCTTTTCTTGGCAGAGTGAATATTACAAGGTGAGAATTTACGAATGATGAAATATGCAAAACTGTTCAAATCGAAGTCTCGTTTACCGAGATGAAATCCATGAAAATCCTTGTCCCTTCTTGCTCTGTAAGGTGCAGTTTCGATAAGTTTGAAACGTCATTTAACCGAAAGAGTGATTGATTTCCCTAGCCATGTTTTTTTTCCGTAAGCATTCGATGTTCATTCTAATGTACTGTCGCAAACTTCCCATTGTTAGATGGGGTAAAAGTCCAGGGCGGGTGATTAGAGTTGGAAACGAAATGCTAGATAAATAGGCATATACTTGAAAGTATTTTGGGCTTAAGATTTTTTTTTTTTTTTTTTCACCGCTTTTTTGCATCGGAAGGAATGCTTTACTAAGGAAATCTACAATCCAAATCTCCTTCCTAGAGTCTTCACAACGTTAAAGGGGTAAGTTTCTAAAGAAACTGTGGTGCTGCGTCGGTGGGAGAGTATAGCAGGTATACCTGCTCCTACCTGCTCTTCACAACGTTGTCCAGCAGAAAAATGGTTTGTTTGAGCTAATGTTAAAATCATTGTTTGGGTGCTGGTCCACAACCGTTCAGGGCCCAACTAAGCAAGCAAGTGAAACTTTCTTTAAAATTTCTTTTCCAACGAATGGACATTTGGTCAAATTCTAATTTGTCTATAATATAACACAAAGTTTTGTGCAAATACTCCTTTTTCCGCGTCGTTTGATGGGGGACACTGGAGACGAGAATATTGCTCAACAGACACCTCATGACTTATTACACAGAAGGAAAAAGCAATAATTCAAGATGGCTGTCATTAGCTGCCTCAAATGGGTCATTCTTTCGAGGTTAGATATATCAAGATTGCTTCGGATTTGCTGCGTTTTTGGAGTTTCAGTACAAACAGTCTATATGTTTGTAATAATTGTGAGAGAAGCGTTAAAATCTTCTTCCGAAAAGACAAATAGTCATCAATCTGCAACTCAAGTTTTGTTCTTTCCGGACAAAGTTTTCGCATGCCAGCAGTTTCTATTCAATGGAGGCTGTAGTAGGAAAAACTGTCAGTTTTCTCACGAAGAGACCTCATTAAGTAAGCTTGTGAGAGTTTTATCTGAAGCTAAACAAAGCTTGGACGTTTGTGTTTTTACAATTAACTGTCGCGAGCTTGCAGATGCGGTCATTCGACAACACAAGAACGGTGTCGTTGTCCGAGTGCTGACAGATGATGAACAGATGGGTTCGACTGGTTCTCAGATTGAGAAGTTTCGACGCGAAGGAATCCAAGTTCGCCACGATCTTTCTTCGTTCTTCATGCATCACAAATTTGCCGTCATTGATCGAAAAACACTTGTTAATGGATCCTTTAACTGGACAAGGCAAGCGGTGACTGGAAATAGAGAGAACGTAGTTATTTCAAGTGAAGAATTCGTTGTCAGATTGTTCGCAGAGGAATTTGAAAAACTATGGGAAGAGTACGATCCTTCTAAAAGATTTGGGGTCTCGTGAAAGATTTTCACATCTAGGACTACGAGACTGACATTTTACTCTAGTTATTCTCATGAGTATCCCAACTTGTGATCACACCTCACCGCTCGCCAACATCCACTCAGGAAATTCCTCGCTTATTTCGCGAATGAAAAAGTTTCTATGTAAACTAGTATTTGATTTTTTAGGAACTCGTTACTAAGTCTCTCTCAGATGCCTTAATACCTAACGTTCTTACCTTAAGTTTTTATTCTTTACGCATTATCTTAGCATCCTTAATGATATTTTTTTTAACTCACTACTACAACTGGTTACCAATCTCTCTTTATTGTTTTCCTTTTTTCTCGACACGTCTTTCTAATGCCAAATTACTTAGACCTAGCTAGGTAATACAAACAAGTAGCTTGAATACATGTGACCTCCCCTACTCCTAGTTGAGAAAAATTGCCTAGTTTTATAAATGATGTGCATGATTCCTTGATCTCCTCTCAAGATGTGTTCTCATGATGTACTTTTTTCCTTACATGGGGAAGAGAATGCATTGGTGGTGAAGCAAAACAGTGGCTATGAACAAAACAAACAATCTCCCTTGTAAGAGAATAATTTTTTTAATTTGTTGCCTCTATGAAAATTAAGATTTTTAATACTTGTGAGTAATTAGAATTGTTCTGCATTGCAAACTTTACAAGATATTAAATTTCATTAACACACTTTTGTTTCTAGAAGTAACTCTACACATAGAGAAAATAATGAAGTATGATCAATCTTGTATTAGTGTTAGTTATTTCATCACTTCAGTGGCAATCATTATACTTAAATTAAATTTTAGTGCCACAAGGTCTCCTGTACTATACTATATTCTTGACATTGCCATTACTGACATCAAGAAATTAATATTTAAGTTGAGCAGTCTCTAAATCAACATGTCTCTTCCAGGTATACTACACAAATAATAATTATAAGAAAGATGATTCAATTGTTTGTTTTTCAACAAAAAGCAAAACATTGACCAAAGTTAATGATCTTGTGACCTAAACAAACTCTAATTATACCAACTTTTCAGTGAATTCCCAAATGTTTCCATTTCAAAATTGACATTATTTGTGTACAAAATTTTGCAAAACTTATGTATCACTATATTGAAAAACTTTCAAAACTTACCAAAAGCCAGCATTTTCAACTAATTTACAAAGTTTTTCGTTCACATAAACTGTTTTACATTCAGTGCTACTTTTTATCCACTACAACTGGTCTAAAAAAGCCACAGCATCTCCAGTCCACAAGTCATTTGTATTTTCTTGACTTCAGTCAGTATTCTCATTTTTTCCTTGAGTCGTCATCTACCCTTATATTAAGTACTTTTTAAATGATAACTTTGATTTCAGTTAGATGATGCTCAATTGAAATGTACTCTGATGGTACTATTTCTCAACCTCTTTTGAATTCCTCTCCCCTCC